CCACTTTAATTATGTACAAAAACTATAAAAACTATATTTTAACTTTTTCTACATTATAAAATTAAAAAAAAAAACAGGGAAAGAAAACAAATATTAAATTTGTAAATGTAATAATTTTTTTTTAACTGTATGATATTCCATAAAGCATTCCATGCACAATGCAATTACACATTTTTTTCACCAAGCTGCAACAATTTTTTTCATCTTTCCTTTTCAAGAAGTCGACAAGCAGACATAGCACTGGTGTGTCTCTCCAGCTTTATTTGCAGGAAATACCCTAAGCAATATTTCTATAGGCAAATGCTTCAGGAAATACCCTAAGCAATATTTCTATAGGCAAATGCTTCAGGAAATACCATAAGCAATATTTCTATAGGCAAATGCTTCAGGAAATACCTAAGCAATATTTCTATAGGCAAATGCTTCAGGAAATACCCTAAGCAATATTTCTATAGGCAAATTTCAGGAAATATAAGCAATATTTCTATAGGCAAATGCTTCAGGAAATACCCTAAACAATATTTCTATAGGCAAATGCTTCAGGAAAAATACCCTAAGCAATATTTCTATAGGCAAATGCTTCAGGAAATACCCTCAATATTTCTATAGGCAAATGCTTCAGGAAATACCCTAAGCAATATTTCTATAGGCAAATGCTTCAGGAAATACCCAATATTTCTATAGGCAAATGTTTTCCTGCTAATATTTCTATAGGCAAATGCTTCAGGAAATACCCTAAGCAATATTTCCTTTCAGGAAATACCCTAAGCAATATTTCTATAGGCAAATGCTTCAGGAAATACCCTAAGCAATATTTCTATAGGCCCTTCAGGAAATACCCTAAGCAATATTTCTATAGGCAAATGCTTCAGGAAATACCTAAGCAATATTTCTATAGGCAAATGCTTCAGGAAATACCCTAACAATATTTCTATAGGCAAAACAATATTTCTATAGGCAAATGCTTCAGGAAATACCCTAAGCAATATTTCTATAGGCAAATGCTTCAGGAAATACCCTAAGCAATATTTCTATAGGCAAATGCTTCAGGAAATACCCTAAGCAATATTTCTATAGGCAAATGCAGGAAATATGCAATATTTCTATAGGCAAATGCTTCAGGAAATACCTAAGCAATATTTCTATAGGCAAATTTCTAACAATATTTCTATAGGCAAATGCTTCAGGAAATACCTAACAAAATAGGCAAATGCTTCAGGAAATACCCTAAGCAATACCATAATCTCATGAATCTTAATAAATAATAACCTGATGAATCCATGAGTCAAAAGATGAATGAATTTTTGTCTCCAGTAAAATATCAATTGATAATGTCAACCATTTAAGGGTTAACCAAACACAAGGCCAAATTTATAGAGTATATAATGAAGAAAAACATTAACTTGCAAGATAACCATTACTTTTATGATAGCAGGCTTAGAGAATGCTAGGTTTGTCAAAATATTGTTTTGTTATTTCAAATTCTTTATTAGAATATTTGATTATACATAAGAAAGTATACACAATTTACTTATCAGTCTGATTAAATGTTAATGACTATCCTCATCAAAAGACATAAGCTAATCTATTTCTCTTATGCAGCATGTCAACATGGGATAGTGGCTAGTGTAGCTAGTCATCTGACCATTATAAATGAGTAGTGAATTCAATCCTCACTGGGTGCCCCATACAAAAACTCAACAAATGTTGACACATTACAAACAACCAACCTAAAACCCAAATAGGTATGCATATATGTGAAACAAGAATTATCCAACAAGAAATTCAAACAACAGTGACTGTTAATGGATAGAAAGGCTAGGCTGGTTGACTATTACAACTGAATAGTGAATTCAATCCTCACTGGGTGCCCCATACAATAGTTTTATGTTAACCTACCAAGGGTTGACCTGCTGTAAAGTCAACAAACCAACAATCGGAATGGAGTAATTGATAACGAGGCTAGTCTGGTTGACTAATACAATTGAGTTCTCATTTATAGAGTATTATTTCTGTTTCATGATAAAATCTTCACATAATACCTGTTTTAATCTATAGCAGTCAGTTAAGCACCATACACAACACAAAATTGGGTGATCATGTGTCTTTTGATTCATGACTGACAAGGCAGAAGATTTTTCCCACAATAGGTTGCTATTTCTTTCTGCAATTCAACCCATAGATGAGGGGAGAAGTGATGAATTCAATAGTTTAATAATTATAATAAAAATTGCTTTTCATTTAATTTTTTCTTTTTTTATTTCTTATTACTATAAATATTATATTTAATGAGTACATGTGTTTGAGCAAAACATTCCAGTAAATATAACATTTAAAGTAATAAGAAATCATATTGGATCAATAAGGGACATTTATTGCTTATTATATATATATATATATATATATATATATATATATATGAATGAAACACATGAGTCCCAATAAGTGCATACTTGAAACAAAGAACATAAATACAAAAATAGAGGAGTGGTTGACTCACCTACGCATCCGATGGTCACAATGCCATCCTTGTAGCGGACATGTTGCTGGTAGCTGGTATCAGCAATTTCATTATGAACAATAGACACAAGATCTGACTCAACAGCACTGACGTTTGCTTCAATTTTCTTTTTCCAACCAGAAAGATCCACTGAAAGTAACAAAACCTACATGAATATCAAGTTATACAAAACAGGATTTATTTGAAGAAAATCTTTGAAAAAATAAGAAAAAAAAACTCTTTTTCATCTGACATCTTTGAGATGAGTTATTATTAATAACCAATAACATTTTATAGATTATAATTTTTGTCTTCTACCTAGATTTATTCAACCATAACAAGGCTATCCTAAAGAAACTGGAGACCCTACCAGGATTTACTATTGGCAGGTATAATGTTAAGAATATAAGATACACATATAACACTGTGTTGAATGACCTGGAAAGAATACCACATGATCTCCTAGACAGGGTAGTAGAAGAAAGCAAGAAAAAAGGACTAACTACCAACAACAAGATGAAAATATAGTCAATCAGCAAGAGGAAAAGTTCAAAATGAAAGTTACAAATTGGAGAAGTGAACATCAATCAAGTACAGAAGTTTAAATATCTTGGAAGTGTTTTAACAGAAGATGGAAAATGCAAATGCTGAAATCAGAAACATGGGTTGGACTAGCAAAAGATATATTCCAAAAGCAAATATGATGAGAAACAAAAACAAAAACTGTTAGAAACAAAAAAAAAGTGCTGCATTGCTATGTGATATCCATCCTCTTATATGCTAATGAATTATGGACAATCTCCTCACAGATGAGAAAATTGGAAGCAACAGAAATGGAGTTCTACAGAAGGATACTGAGAATTCCATGGATGGAGTAAATAAGCAATGAGGAAGTCTTAAAGAAAATGGCAACAAAAAGAATACTTATGCTCAGAATCCAGAAAAGATTGGACACATAATGATGGCTTGGAAAACTTAACCTTCACAAGGTGTATTGAGGGCAAGAGAGACAAGAGATACCTGTAGTAAACCAATTACCTGAAGAGTTTGGATGAATGGATAGCAAAACTGAAAGTGTGGGTGTCAGCAAAGGGAGAAAAACTGCTCTGAGCCACAAGGGATAGCAAGTTTTTTTGGAAAGTCAGGATCACTCATATCCTGAAGGAATGCAGCACATAGAAGAAGAAGAAACTTGTGAAAGAAAAAAAAACAGTGATGAAATAGAAAATTGAAACAAAAAAAAAAAAAAAAATCACTAATCTTTTTTTTTACAAAGACATTGAATTTACTCTTGTAGATTTCTCAGAAAACCTGTTTCTTTTACAAAGACATTATATCCAATGAAAAAAATTATACTTATTAATAAATATGATAACATTATAAGGTCAAAATGGCAGCCGATGTCCAAATCACCTCAAGTCCATTGTTAACAGGGGCAAAAAAATTATTGTTAATTTTAACGGCTCCAGAAATAAACTTCTCTCCATCAATCAACTAAGAGACCCCTCTCTGCCTTCCATCAGTCATGGCTGATGCTAACCTCTAGGAAAGTGACTCACTGCTCTTCCTCGGGCTAACATTCTCAGCTGACATTAAGGAGAAAGACTATATTGAATCCTTTGCTAGGTCAGCTGCTAAAAAAGTGGCTTCACTATATCATGCAAGACAATTTTTCTCTCTAGAATCTTTCTTACATATTTATAAGTCTACAATTTGTCCATGCTTAGAATATTGCTAACACTGCTATTTACCTTGAGCTCCCTGATAAAACCCAATAAATCAGCAATATTAATGGTCCTGATCTGGCAGTGCAGTTTCAGTCATTTTTCACTGCTGTAAGATTGCCTCTCTGTGACTTTTCTATAAATACTTTCATGGCAAGTGTTTGAATGAGCTCTTCGCTATGGTACCTAGATTTTATGAATTTAAGATCAGTATTAGACTGACATCAATATCTCATTAATTTACAATTGAATTGGTTAGATGTAGCCATAAGTTCTATGCTAACAGTTTCTTTTCTCATTCTTCTCACTTCCTTCTGGTTCCATGCTTTCCAGCCAACTTAATCTGCAAAAATTTAAATCCAATATCAATCACTATCTACTGTCCTTCTGATTACTCTTTCCTCTTCCTGCTTATTTTCAATGTTTCAGTTCCTAGTTCTTTGACACCCTGTAACTCCTTATGTTTTAGTACCTTTACTGCCTTGCATGGGGTGATACCAATTTAAAAAAAATATAATCATATGAAAGTCCCTTATTATGAAAGGGTCTAAAAGTTGTCATAACATTTAAACATAGCAAATATTATTTCCCATCAGCTTTATAAAGATTGTACTTCAATTTGTAATCCTGTAGCCTCTGGATAAAATACATCACAACTCAGCATGAAAAGCCATATGCATTTTCAAGCACATTTTTCAGAGCTATTTCATTTTGAAATTATGGCTCACCAACATTTTCTTATGGGTTACCACAACCCCACCAATATTTTTTTGTAAGTGACTTGAAAAGGAAAAATTAAAATTAACAAGCAGAAATTAAAAATTTGATTCACTTGAAAATAAGTTTTCAATTTTGTTTTTTTTTGTTTTGCTAATCTGAAGAAAAATGTGTAGAATACTTGAATGTTAATGCAATTTCAAAATGTACATTTTTAGAAATGAATATTGTGTAAGAATCGTTTTTTCAATTTCAGAATAAAACCCAGTTTATGGAAACACCAGTAGGCAAATATGAAAAACTAAGTATAAAGAGACAGAGAGATGTGCATATAAAAAAAAGATAAGAAAAACAGGCAGAGAACACAGAAGAAAGGGAGAATTATTTAGTTTTTAGACAATGTCCTAAAGAGATGTAAAAAAAAAAAAAAACATTAGCAAAATGTTTCTAAATGTTATCAATTTATCTTTCCTCCCAAATTATCTTCCATTTTTGATAGCATAAAGTATGGCACAAAAAGATTTTGTTTCGCTTCAACAAGGAATATTCTGGAAATAGCAATTATCTACAACAGAAAAAAAGCTGAGTTTTAGCTTATGGAAAAATCTTGTATTTTTACAATTATGGTAAGGGTACCATTTTTCTTTTTTTACAGTTATGAAAAGGGCATCACTTTTTACAGTTCTAGAAAAGATTTCATTAGACTCAGTTATGAAAAGATCTCATTTTTACTCTTATAGAAAAGAGTGGCATTATGATAATTATGGATTGGCCTTATTTTGAAGTTTCTAAAGTTTAATTATGGAAGAGATTCTTTTTTTAAAATAAAAGTATGTCATTTTAACACACACATAAAGCAGATTTTTTCAATCATTTTTGTTTTTCTCTAATCAAATAAAATATATATATATATATATTAATTTTATTTTATGTGTGGTGTGTTATTTGGTAAATATTTTAATGTTCCATGAAAGAAAACCACCTGCACTTGTAAAATCTGCAATGACTTCAACTGATAAAAGCAGAACTCAGGAGGCTGTATTGTTACTGACATTCTGCACTGTGAATTCAAAGAGCAATATTTTTTTCCCCTTGCTTTGTCATTTGTTTTCTTAAGACAAACCTATATTACACAACTCATACAAGTGTACACTACAGGGGAGCTTGCATGCAGAGAGAGAAAGTTATGCATTTCTCCCTGGTACCAGGGGTTGGGTTTTAGGTAAAAATCAGAATAACACATTGATTTTTTTTTTATAAACAAGCAGGTTTTTCCACTTAGAATATTGGTGCAACACAGTCTTTTTAACACTTATTTAACCCTCTGCTGGAATAGAGGAAACTTAATAAACATCAATATTCACTGTAAGAAAATGGAAGAGAAAAAAACCTGATAGACTATCTAATCAGGTTATAAAAGCAGCAGACGTATCTCACAACATGGTGGCTGTCTTGACCACACCCTTCCTTGACTGTTTTAAACCCCCTAAGCACAGTAATAGATGTGTAGAATTCATGCACTTATAGTCACAAGTGAAGGTCATCTTGACCAAGAAATATTTAATCTATAAGTGGTATTTTCTGTTTGTGTTACAGTTTAATGTAGTGCTGAAGGGCAGAAAACATTGCAGTGTTTTCCATTGAATTATGAAAGAAAAATACAAAAAGTTTATGAAGAATTAATTAAAGCTGTTTATTCTGAAATATTTTGATGCCTTAAAATCAGAGTAAAATGTTGTTTTGTTGAATTACATATTAGAACTGAGATGAAAATCAAGTGAACTCTGTCTTCCACTCTCCAAAAAACACACACTAAAAGATTTTCACACTGTATTGTTAAAATAGATTGAAGAGTAAGCGTTCTCAAAGCAAATTTGTGGCTTTCACAACACAAAGAAAGAAAATCACTTGTAACGCGTCAGGAAAATAACTCACGAACGCCGTAGCCAAAAATGCCCGAATTTTTCCTTCCCCGAGTCGAAAAACACCAACTGCTTTTATCGGCAGAACCTATTTTTTTCCATAAATCGACAGCCGGGATAGGATGCTCCATAATTTGCATATTAATATACTCTTATAGCGACTCCTGCGATGGACTTGTTTCTTTTTTCGTCACAGAATACACGCGACGCGCTGTCGCTTGGGTAGACGAGGTAAGTCGCTATAAGAGTTTTGCTGACTACTTTTTGGCAATCCCTCCCCGGCAGATTCTATTGTTTTATTACAAGCTTTGTTAGGAAACTATTCTGCTATTTTGAGTATTTCTGAAGACTTAATGTAATATGGTAACCAATCTAAAGGGGACCTTACTGCACTTGCACAAACAATCTCTTTAATAATCTAATCTACAATGTTATATGTCCTTACCTGGCATCTCAGCTTCAGTCATTTTCCCCACTGCTGTAACATAGCTTCCCTGTGCTTTTTCTATAAAGATTTCCATGGTATTTCTGCTATGCTATATAAAATTGTAATCTTTGTAAATATTCATGGGGGTTTCATTTTTCAAGTTGTTATTTTTATCCCTCATCCCTACCCCACAGACAAATTGTTCATATGGAAACTACTTAAGACTTCAAAGAGACTATGAAGTATTATGGTGACTGTAGTAAGAATGTGTTGTTTTGGTGTAAGAAATACTGTGGCTAGCTAAGTTTCCTTTTGGCCTTGTGCCACATTTTTGTATTTTTCAAAATAAATATTGATTTC